CCTTGGGACCAGCAGATGGCACAACGGTTACGTTGCTGGACTCCCACATAGTCGACCATGGTTCAAGTTATGGACCTGCTGGCTCAAACTCATGCCCGGTACATGTGCGTACGTGCCCAAGATCCCAAGAGGAGAATGGAGAAGGGACTACAGTGTGACCATCCCCCTCCAAGGGGTGAATTCTTGCTTTTATCATCTCTTTGTCCCTGTCTTTCCGGCAAGCTTACACACCCTATAGCTAAAATCTCTCTTACAAAAAAAAAAAAAAAAAAGACTGAGCCCTCCGCTGCCAGGAAAGCCTGCCCACAGGGTGCAAGCTCGATGCACACAGCCCAGAGAGAACAGGGCCCAGAGGGAGCAAGCAGAGCACCAGGAGTGTGAAGGTCCCAGAGGCCCCTCCCACCACTGACTCACTGAAACAAAAGCTGCAACAGACGTTCTAGGTCATCTTCCTGTAACTCCAGACCATGAAGTTAATGTATTCATTGAAGGGACCTGCAGATGGCATACTGGTTACATCACTGGGCTCCCACATAGCTGACCACAGTTCAAGTCCCAGATCTGGTGAATTAAAACTCACACCAGGCGCGTGTCCATCCATGCCCACCCAAAATCCCAAGAGGAGAATGGAAAAGGGATTGAGATGTGGCCATCCCCCTGAGGGGCAATTTCTCACTTTCTGTCTCTCTCCATCTCTCCAGTGAGCACACACAACATATAGCAAAAATCTCTCTTTAAAAAAAAAAAATCATTGTGATGATCGTATTAAGAATATCAAAATAGTAGGGCCAGCAGATGATATGATGGTTAAGGCACTAGACTTCCACATGGCTGACTGTGGTTTGAATCCCAGATCTGGCAACTTGGAAATCATGTTCAGTGCATGTATGTGTGTGCCCAAAACCTCAGAAGGGACTGCAATGTGGCCATCCCATGGGAAGGGGGGGTGATTTGTCACCTCCCCCCAAGTCTCTTTCCAACATGTGCATGTGCCTTATGGCAAAAGCCTAACGATGACAAAAAAAGAAGAAATATTAAGACAACAGCCCAGGCCCCATGTAAAGCTGCTTCTCCTTAACCGGTCATCATGGTCACGCTGTGGCTCAGGGTAGGAGCCACAGTGAAGCAGTATTCCAGCCATGGCAGGTGGCTGTCCATGTCACACAAAATCTGCTGTACAATGACCCACACAGTAAGCCACACACCGCCTATGCCAGGCCGTACAGCGGGGCTCCCATGGCCCCAGAACTAGGTGCAATCTGCCACTTGCCCTTGTTGCCAGGATTTTTGGTCTGCACTTTGAATCCTGAACTTAACCTGGTCTCCTCCCCTTACTGTCTTCTGTGGTCTGAACGTGTTTCCCTGAAATACGTGTGCTAAAATTTGGTGAATGCTTATAAAGGTGTAAAGAGGGTGGGAATTTAATCATCCATGTGATTAAGAGATGGACCCTTCATGGCTAGCAGATGGCGTAGTGGTTACATGGTTACATCGCTAGACTCCCACATGGCCGACCGCAGTTCGAGTCCTGGACCTGGTGACTTGAAAATCATGCTGGGTACGTGTGTACACGCCCAAAGTCCCTGAAGAGAATAGAAAAGAAGAGATTGCAGTGTGGCCACTCCCCTCCGAGGAGGGGGGGGAGTGATTTCTCACTTTCCCTTTGTGTCTCTAGCAAGCACATGCACCTGATGGCAAAAACCTCTAAAAAAAAAAAAAGAGGTGGCTTCTTCAAGAGGTGATTAGGATTGGATAAGGTTATCAGGGTGGGAACCCTGCCTGCACACTGGTGGGGTTATAAGGAGAGGGTGTGATACCAGAGACACGTGGGTACAGACACAGACCTATGCGAGCAGACCCTCACCGGAGGCCACCACTGAGCTTGCAAAGCCATGAGCTAAATAAACCCCTATTCTCTTAGAGTACTCTGACTCAGTTACTTCTATAGCAGCAGGACAGACTAGGACACTGTCCCACCCCTACTTTCTTTTGGGTCTTCTATTAATTGACCCTTTTGTGTTACATTTCGCACAAGCATCTCCAAGTTCCTTCTGGATGCATGGAACATCAACGTAAAAAAGAAACATTTTTAAAGCGAAACACAGTAACACTGAAGAACTGCAAGGGAGTTCAGAAATAGCTCACCCAGCTTGACTACCCTCATTTTAAAGATGAAAAATAGGAGGCCAGAAAAGGTTCGATCTTTCCAAGCCACAGTGACACAGACTGAACAGAGAGGCCAGGGCCTAGGAGGAGGCCAGATTCACATGCTACCTGCCCTGGCCAGCCAGTTCTTTGCCAGCACCGAGTGGAATGGAGTCCGTGTCCCTGAAGTTTCCCCACCTCACCACTGCTTCAGAGAATCCAAAGGATATCTTCATAGCTAAGCACTGCCTCATGTCAGGCGCATGTGCTCAACTTCGGCCAGATTTCTAATACTGGCTGGGTTAGTGCCTGAAAACCCTTCCTCTGAGCACTCCACTGTTCTACCGTTTCTACTGTCACCAGAGACAAAGCCCAAGAGGGACAGGAGACAACAGGTGCCACACAGTCCATTTTATGAGTTAAAACAAGAGTTTGTGTCAGCACAAAAAAAGATGTAGGAGACAAGTACAGGGCACATTTGCAATGCTATTCTTGGGGGCTGAGACTACAGTTAATTTTTCCCTCTGGCTTAGCTTTGTCTTCTAATTTTTCCTCTAATAATCTTAAGGACTTTCACGATGTTCTAAAAAACAGAAATAATAAATTAAATCAGTCTATTTTATTAAGTTCAGAGTATCATGGTACCACAGCTGAAGTATGCTGGACCATGGCCCTGGGGCCATGACCAGGGCTGGTGTACCTCTGTGGAAATTTGTTTGTTTTGCTATAGGGCAAGTGTACTTGCTGAGACAGAGAGAGAGAAAGTGAGAAATCACCCCCCTGAGAGGGAAAGGCTACACTGCAATGCCTCCTCCTCCATTCTCCTCTCAGGGTTTTGGACACACACACACACACACACACACACACGCCCAGCGTGATTTTCACGCCTCTAGATCTGGGACTTGATTTATGCAGGCCAAGTGGGATCCAGCTGCCTCAACCTCCACGCCACTGCAGGCCCTCTGCAGGGTCTTTACTGGGTGCCCACCTCCCCGCAGGGGCCCTGACTCTGTTTCCGGTCCATTATCAGCAAATGTGTAACTCTTGCCATCAAAGGAGGTGGCGAGCTTATTTTCTTCATGCATTAGCCAGAAAAGTACTTAAATTCCACTTTTCCACCTCCCATTCAGGCTGTGTGGTTTCTTTAAAAGAGAAAGGTTGCCACTGTCATTACCATGGCAGACAACCCGATCAGACCTTTCATGGAGGATCAGGAAACCTGTTCTGCTGAAGGACTAACTCTATTCATGAAGGTCATTTCCGTAAGCCTCAGCCCATCCCTGGCCTCTGCAGGATCTAACCGCAGGTGAATGCTCTAACAGGATCCTGGAGGCGGCCTCTGGGTCCAGCTTCGGGGAGGTGCCCTTGAACACAGAGGCAAAGCTGTCCCCTGTCATCGGCTGCCTGGACAATAACATGCTGCTATGCAGCAGAGCTCTCCCATCCGCAGGGAATCTGGGGAGCCCCTGCCTTCTGGGCAGTCTGCCTGGCAAGGCATCCCGAGTCCTTCCTGTAACAACCTGTTTTGGCTATTTGGAGCCATTTCCTTCTCCCTCTTCTTGCATACTAAATACAAAGAGGCGGGCTGGGATGGCTGGGACGCTAACAACTCTGTCCTTTGCACCAACTCTACTGTTGAAAAAGGAGTGCCCCAGAATACATTTGCAAAAGCAATCGATCTCACTCTAAGCAACTATTAAACATATCTTACTATTCTTCTAAAATACCCTCAACAGAGGAGCTGCCCAGTGCCTGGGTACATAATGCAAACCAAACCTGCAAATTGCAGGCCTACATGTACCCGGTCATCCCCAGTCTCTGCTCTACCTTAGCACACTAGTAGAAAGATAAAATGTACTGACTTGGAAAGCTGCGAGTGAAACCTTACAAGTGTTTATGAACAGAAACAAAAAAGCCACAAAATGGTAGATACAATATACTTTTTTTTTAATTTGTATATATATATTCAGGAATAGAAAAGGTTCTGGGAGGGCATACACCCATACCTTAAAATGGTGAAGTCATAGGGACTATTCCTGACTTTCCTTTCATGCATTTTGTATTTTCTTACTGGAAACAAATTTTTGCAAAGTATAAAAAGAAGTCACAATTACTAAAACAATCTCCATGAACTTCAACCCAAGTTAACTTCTCCAAGTAAGGTGTGAGCACTTCCAAGACAGAGCCATCTCCGAAGACTCCTCGGCGCGGACCCTTCCTGCTTTAAGCAGGCATCTTCAGTGCTGTTCTCGAATCAGCCTAGCTATAAAAAGAAGCCCCACAACGGCCTGATGTCCGCACTCACCCCTTCTAGTCCACAAACAGCCCAGCCCTGATTCCAGTCCCTTTTCTCCTACAAACTGTTGCAGATGGTGGGAGGCGGGTACTGTGGGGCTGGGGCTGGGGCGGGGAAGGGAGGCGGGAGGCGGGAGGCACACTGCGCGCCGCGAAATTCCGCCAGGATTCCGGGGTCTGGATCTGCCGGGAAGAGCGCCCCTTTCCAGGCGCGGGCTCCCAGAGAAAGATCCTGGAGCAGGGCCCAGCAGAGGAAGCCCGGCCCCAGGAATGCGCTCTGCCTCCGGCAGTGCCCGAGGTCAGGACAGGAAGCGCGGCCGGCCGACCCCCGGGGGAACGCGGTAGGCAGGAGTGGCGGGGCAGGGCGCCCACCCAAAGCTAGTCTCCTCCAGGGACTGCGGGGGCGGGGGAGCCGCCCTCACCCCGCGACTACGCGCCCCTTCGGGGAGGCGGGGCGCTCCACAGGCCGGGGCTCAAAGCAGCCCAGGCCCCGGCTGGCCTTCTGGGGGCGGGCAGCGCGCGGCCGAGCACCGCGACGCCCTGCAGCGCCCGGCCCTCACCTTGGGGTCGCGCTCGTAGTAGTGCTGCTGCGTGCGGATCCAGCGGCCCACCAGGTGGTCGCGCACCGTGTGTGCCAGCGCGAAGAAGTAGTCGCGGGGCGTGGCCACGTTGCGGTCCTTGACCAGCGTGAAGTGCAGGTGCCGGTTGAAGCTCTTCCGCACCTCGGCCACGTCGCCCAGCCCCGCGATGCCACGCACACTGATCTGCTTC